TACTGATCTTGGAGATCTACCACTTGTATAAAAATTCAAGAAATAATCTTTTCTTCTACCAGAAAAACATCTAGGAACTTGGTTCACCAGAGCCTACATTTCCATAAAGCCATTTCTGTTAATCTACCGTTTGTCTGCATTTGTGCTGACAAAGGTTGGGCCTGAAGATACCATCTTTTCTTTCAATACTATGTATTTAACCAAATTACTGAATTCCCGCTACAATTATGGGAACCGTTGCTGCCTTGGCAACGTTCTCTAACAGCTGATGACTTGCTATGTACAGATTTCCAACATGAAACTTTTAATCTGTTGAGAAGTAACAACAGAGACCCTGACTTCTGTCTGCTGCTGCTGCTTATCATCATTAGGGATTTGTATTATCCCCAGTTAAATCACCGGGATTCTCGCAGCTCAGTGGTTGCTGGGGCAGTGCATCCAAGTGAGCCATCTGCTTGGGGAACAGTTCTGTCCTGTGGTCGGTATCTGCAAGTCTTGCAGCTGTGGTCCCTTTGGTTTCTTATTCCATTGTTCTTTGAAAAGCAGAATATGACGAGGGGAAAATAGGAACTGATACCCTGAAAGGATATCAGCATGGGAGAAGCAGATTATTTTGGATTAACTCTGTGGCAATTGCAGTTATTTCTTCTAAGTATCTGTAAGAAGGATGCTGAGCAGAAGATTCCAAATTTCCAAGAGGACAATGCTTCCTGCCAGAGGTCCCCAAAATTAATTATCTCACATTTCAGTGGTCTCCAAAGAGATCCTAGAACAATGGAAACAAAGACGGGAAGAGGCAGGGTGCACGGGGTTCATATTATAGCCCAAAGACAGGGGAGCAGTCTGCCTGACACACTTCTTCAAGCAGTCAAAGAGAATGTTTGCCAGAAAAGGGTTGTTTCTGAGGCAGAAATATGATAAAAGGATGTGAGACAAAGATATTGCTGAGATGTGGGTCAAAGCAGGGTAAGAGCAGAACTTTTGAATGAAGGAGGAGGCTGTTTTCTGTCAGAGGCATACAATAGTAGTTTAATGTGATGAATTTTCATGTTTGCTTCCTTAAACTTGCATTGAAGTAGAGAATTCTTTCCTTGTTTGTCTCAGCTCCAGCTTTCTACATCTTTCACACTTGCAATGAATTCTCATTTCTATGTTTCCTTATTTCCAGCATCACTCAGTTGCCAAGCAAATGAGCAAAACCGCAAGATCCAGTAGAAACTGGACTAATAAGGAGAAAAACTTTCATATTGAAACAGAAAATTCTTCCATAATATGAGTAATAGAAAGTTACAAGAAAGATAGATTGCTACTGGCATAAATGTTCTCATTTCAGTGAATGTTGTTGCAGTCTGCCCCAGTATGAAGGTTCTTTTTTAATTGCATTGCAGTTCTTTGGAAAGTGTTTGTCTATGACCCTCCAGCCTCCAGTGGGACCAAGACAGCGTCCGTCCATTGCAAACATATTTCTTACATCTATTAGTCTTCCAGTGTAACATAGTTTTTAAATGTCACATGATCTTGCAGCATCCTAATAGTATCTCTTGGGGAAAATATTTTCCCTGACACCATATCAGGGATTCTTAGGAATAGAAACAGAAAATATTAGGCTGGTGATCCACCTCCATCTCCAGATTGCCAGCAGCTGCAAGTTGTCAAATAGATATATTGATTTAATTAGTCTAGCTAAAACTATTGCTTTTTCCGTTGGAGCATGATAGGAGTTAGCGGGTTTTTTTAGGTATCGTACTGCACAATTCTCAGCTAGCACCTGTAACTGTAGTCGGAAAAAAACACTGAAGTTGTAGCTTTCAAGGAAGTACTGTATATTATGTACTTGTACTATGCAGTATTTGTACCAACCTCAAATACTGGTTTTCACAAAACCCTGTCTATTTATCCTTGCTCTTCACATTAAGCAAGTAATTTTACTGTGTATGTTTGAGAGTAGTAGCAAAGTAGGAATTGGGAAAGGGGATAACTGCGTATATATGGACCAGATGTTTTTTTGGATCTCTGTAATAAGGGAGCTGTACTTCCAACAGTCAGCTCTCTGAAGCTTTAACAGAGGCTGTTGTGCTCTCCCTGGGGCTTTTAGTTTGATCCTGGTTTGTGAGGAACAAGCAGGACTTTGTGATCATACATTCAGAGTCTACATGGATCACTTTCTGTTTTTTGTGGAGGTAGAGTGGCCCTTTCTGTTTGTTTTATTATTTACATAGTACAGATCAGAGAACTCTTTTAGGTATTTGCGGCATCAAGTCCATCAGTTCTGTCTGAGTTATAGCTTTGAGAAAGATGTCCATTGTTGCTTTAGTACTTCAAAAGATGGAAGCTTTATCACATTCCTTGGTAAGCTGTTTCAGTGGTTAATCATCCTGACTGTTTGCTGCCTTTTTATTAAATTAAGCACACTAAGAGTTGTAACTCTGTATCTCTTCTTATCTCTAAGGTGTATTTATTTTCTAGAAATTCTTTTTGTAGCAGTTTTTCAAACCATTTTCCAAATTTTTAACATACTAGATAGATCCATTTTTGCCGTAATCATCTCACTAATCCTGAAGATGTTATATTTTTCTGTCTATCCATATCAACTATTAAGTTGTTCGTGGATTCAGAGATCGTACTTGCCCTGTCTTTTGTAGCATCTCATTAGTAACTCTGGTTTGGTTAGCTACCATTATCTAAATTCTTTTGATTTTTACTGTCTTCCACTACGTGTTCTTTTATTTTATCATCACTGGCTTTGTTGTTCCTGTTGTTCCTGAATATGTAATCTGGCATTTGGCTGTATTGTAGTGCAGATTGTTAGACTAAGCACAACCTACTTAATGATCCAGACTGGTGTGTGTAGCTCTTCTATCTCCCTTGTCTACCCCATCCCTATCATTGCAGCAGGAAGTTCTTGCACTTTTCCATAGAGTAACTGAAAAAATTGGCTCAACGTGTCTATTTGACTTGTCTATAATCTCTTTCATCACTGGTCTGATCACAGACCACATGTCCTTCAAGACACTTGAATTAGAATAAATCAATTAACAAAGCATGATTCAGTTTTTGATTAGGATAATTGTGCTTGGAAATCTGCGTAGTGTGAAAGTCCACAATCCAGGTTCTGAAGACAGCCTGTATTGGACGTACCTCAGAATTTACCTTTGTAAGACAAAAAGTGTTCCTGACATAGCTAGGGCCATTGGATTTACTTCATGCTGCTTTTTTTTTTTCTTTTCTTTAAATAATTTTGTGCTGTGATAGGCCACAGAGCACCACTTTTTGTTCTGGATTTCAGTCTGACATATAATCATTGTTCATTTTAAAATTTGAATACTAAGTATGATAGTGGCAATGGAGAAAAACTATGCTCCCCGAAGAGCGCAGGTGTGTTCTCTCCAGTTGGAATCCATGGGAACTGCTGCCATCTTTTACAGCGGTTACAGAAAAACATAAATTTGGAGGTTTTTTCCCTCAACTAGTTTAATTTATGCTGAATGTAGATATTATTTTTGTAAACGTGCTGCAGTATGATTTCTCAAGTTGATAGTGACTTGTTTGGACATATAAACCAAGCCAATAAAACAGTAGTTGTTTAATTACACGTGGGTATTTTTATGCACTGTGTACTGTATAAACAATTATAAAGGTGATTATACAAAGACCACATATAAAAATCCAATTTAGGTGTCTTCTCATTACATTCTCAGGATTTCTAGCTTCAGAAGAGCTTGTTAACTTGGGAGCTTCGTTGTGGTTGTATGTACGTACTGCTTCCAGACCAGAGCTGTACGGTGCTACACCCAGGTTAATAAGCTCATGCAGAACCAGTTCTGGAGTTCAGACTTTGCATTAAAGTAGGAGTTGTGTTTACTTGTGTCTTTATACTAATACCAAATTTAAATATTAACACTGGGATTAGTAGGAGTGTTACTAGGACAGATCACAGGTTGATCCAGAAATGAGATCTTTTTCAATGTGCAGTAACGGATGTATAAGAGTAAGGCAAGTACTGAGTGATGTTTTGGCCAGTGTAGAGACTTCTTGAGTTAGATGTTGTCCACATTTTTTGTTTTTAGTAAGCCCCAGATGAACATTGCTTCCCCTGAATTTCTAAAGACTTTCTGAACTTCTATGTACTTTTAATATGGTAAATACTTTCCTGTAGTCAGTACCAAACTATATTATGTACTGTGTGACAAATCCTTCCTTTTAGTTCATACAAACCAGGTTAGAATTTCATAGCATGATCTATGAGAGTAAATGTTTTTTTTCCTCTTCAGCTTTTCCTAAACATTCATGATTTTACATATCTTAATGATACCCCTTGTTTTTCTGCCTTTCATGCTTTCTCCAATTACGTGTGTTTTCTTACCACATATGGAAACTATTTTGCACCTCTGGCAATTATTCTCATTCTTTGTTAATACGTTTTCTCTTTCTGCTTGAATTGAGGGAGAGGGGTTGTTCAAGAACAGAATCCACCGCGTGTATCATGCTGTGTTGTGTTCTTCAGCTGTTTCCTAGTAATTCAGAAGACTCTGTGGACATTTTCTGCTCTTTGCTGAACATTGAACTGGTATTGCTATAAAACTGTCCACAGTGGCTAGAACATTTTACAGCGTGATGGTAGTCACATTGCAGCATAATTTTTTATGTATATATTTTGGAATGCTTTTTTTCATATGCATTATTTTGCCCTTATCAAAATTGAATTTACCATGTTATTTTATTGCCCAGTCACTCAATATTATGAGATTCTCCTGTTAGCTATAACAGGCTGTGCTGTGTGGTCAGTATATACTGCCAGAATTTAAAAGTAGTATCAAACTGCAAGCAAGTCAAAGTGTGGAAAGCTGAAGTAGTGAATGCAAATCTGTGTGTATGTAAACATAAAGAGAACAGAAACAATTACAAAGTTCACTATCTACTCTGCAGTGTATGTTAAAATTATAAATTCCTTTTTTCAGAATGACTGAGTCTCATTTAAATGACATTTCTTTGTCCTACAGAAGTCAAAGGAAAATACCAGAGTAATTTGTAAGCGCTGCAAGACAATGCTTGGAGAAACAGTGTCATCAGGTATGGGATGTACAAACCAAACTAGACTTCACTGAATCAGCCATTGAGCACTGGAGATTAAAAACTCTGGAGGAAAGTAGTTTATCAGTAAGGTGCAGGGCTGATTCCCGTGTGTTTATCGCATTCCCTTCTGGAACAGATGAGGTCATTGCTTCCACTGTCAGACCTTGAAAGTGACTTACGACAGGGATTTTCCTCATCCTTGTTTCTGTGGTGTATTTGGCTAATTCCTAAGCTTTGAAAGACTCAGTGCATGATTCCAGTTTACTAGGAATCCCAGTAAAATAAGAGACCTGAGAAATTACATGTTGTTTGTTTTACTATCAGTCCTACAGAATAATGGAAAGGTTAATTCAGAACTTGATCAGCACAGACCTAGAAGCTAAAGATATGATTGCTAACAGCCTTGCCAGGGACACAGGTTATCTCTTATCTCATCCGATGATAAGATGGTGAGATTGAGTCAATATATAAGATGGTCATTATATTGAGTCAGCAGGGTTTACCTGAAGTAGTGTAAAGATGAGTCTCTGGTGGTTTTAAAAATGCAGTTATTAACAGGAGAGAAGCAATGATAAGACTGAAACTAGCAGGGTTCATTCTTTCATTCTCCCTCTACTCCACTGTATCAGTCAGTGTGAGTCTGGCTCAGTTCAGAGATCTGGAGAATACAAAAACTTCTCAGAAAATGCAAAGCCTGTTTAAGAAATAAGTCATGAGGAGATGCAAGACAGAAGGTCTTCTGTTACAGAAGGTTCTGGTTGTCCTGTACGGGGATCTGAACAGTACAGGCTTTAATAAAACCAAATTGAAGGTAAGATGTTTGAAAGACTGCAAAGCAGGTTGTGACTTTGAGAAAGCAGGGGTTTGAAAAGAGCTTCACAGATCTTCATGAATAGTTAATGCCTGAATCTAAGCCTGCAGACGGTTGTAGCAACCAGTAACTGATGTGATCAATGGGTATGGGAAAAGGCAAATATCGTGTAGATGTGCAGGGATTTGGTCTGGACTCTGTACATGGCCCAGGTTAGATAGCAAGTCCATTGTTTTGACCATGTTTCTTCAGTGCTGTAGGAAATTTACGCAGAGTTCAAAAAACAGCCAAAAAACTAACCAGAGCTGTATAGTGTAAGTCTAGACAGAACCATCTCTGTGAAAAGAGACTAGGGAGCAGACTTGACTGTCGTGCTTTGGTGAGCAGATATCAGTGCCTTGAAGATAAAGCTGGATTAGAGTGGTGTAGCTGTGGAGGCCAGATTTGGCTTTGAAATTCCCCTGTCAGCTATTCCTTCCCCCAAATCTATCCCCATATATTTTTGTATGATTTTTTTTTTTCCTGGGAAACCCCACCTTCTGTCTCTCTGCAAGCAAACATCTCCGGAATTCCCCATGCCTTTGCAGCAGTACCACCAGTTCCTTACTCAGGGTAACAGCTGAGGAGGTAGAGGGACTGAACTGGCTTCTCTTGCTCCTGTTTCCCATGACTAGGCACAGCGTGGAGCCAACTAAAATTAAACTTAGAGGTAAAATATAATTTCTTAACAGTGAGGATAATTTAAAAATTGTTTTACTTATCTGGAGAAGGGATGGGATTACCAAACCTTTGGAATCTTTAAAACAGATCAAGTGTCTTCCTGAAATGCTTGCTTTCATCCAGTCTTAATTGTTTGTGTGACAGAGATCAGATGAGACAGTTCCTTCTACCCTTAAAATTCAAGGAGCTGATGAATCTTTACTGTTGTTCTCATGCTAAGGCTTAGTGGAATGAATTTATTACTCTCTATGCTTAACCTGTTCTGCTGGCCCTCTGGTTAGGCTGTGTTTGTAGCTTTGACCCAGAGCTTCAGTGTGATCATCTTTGACCTGATTTCATTGATGGGGATTAAATTCTGTACTCAAACACTGCCATTCAGTGCTAAAGGCTGTCTTAGTGGAGCTTTTGGGGAACAGTTACATTGAAACTCGGAATGTATGCAGTATTAGCGTGGAGTTAGTGCGGTTTTTGGAAAGAAGTTCTGTTCTGCTCTTCGAGCGAAGAAGAAAATTATTCTGCTGTGTGTGCTGTTATTAAAACTGTCTCTTGTGATTCACTGCAGCATTACTGAGCAGCAGAGGGTACTAAAATACTTATGTAAGCTGTGCTGATCTCAGTGCTTTGGGAAAGTTCTTTCGATTCATCTTTTAGGTTTGGCTTAAGCTCTTGCTTGCTTTGTTTCAAGATGATTGTTCCCAGCGTTAAACAAGGATCAATATGAATGACAAACTGCTGATCGTGTAATTAGCTCAGAACAGTTTTCTTCTGGCAACGTATATTTTCTGTTATTGCTTGCTTCTCCTCCCACAAACCAAAGCAGAATTTGACAATCTGCTGCACCTCTTAATTGAGTGCTGAACAAAAGTTTAATTAGTATAGCGATACAGTGACTTAGTCTACTCTTAACAAGTTGGTTGTTCCGCTGTACTTGAAAAATGTTTTTGTTATTTTAGATACCATTAAATATTATGTCACCGAAGTGATTATTCAACCATCTGAGGGAAGTTTCAGCCCAACACCAAGGTAATGAATAAAAATTTCAAAAATCAGATTATTTGTGCAGGTTTATGTTTTAGAAAGGATGCTAGAAATCCACTAACATTTTAGTTTCTTGAATAATTATGTATAATAACAAAGTGCTGTCAAATTTTATGTAATCATCACAGAAGTAAGCATTGTAAAGGTAATGTAGTCTGAGTTTGCTCATGTACAGTTTTGTTTGCTTGTCTTTGTGTGTGTTTGTGTGTGACACAGGAGAGAGTTCGTGTATAATTTGTAGCAATGTCTTGCTATTCAGGTGATAATCCAAAATACAATACTTATTTATTTTGAACTGTTTCAGTTTGCATGATGTCTAGTGACTAATTATGGAAATGGAAGGTTACATTATATAAAGTTAATTTAAGTAAAGCTTGAAATGTTTAATTGAAAGTAAGATTTCTGAATTTTCAAATAATTCAGTTTGAAATTAAGACTAAGCTGAAACAGAATTTGATGTAGCTATCTTGTATCATGTATTATGTGTTAGTTGCAGTTCTTTGCTTTTGTGAATTATATTTGAAATATGTGCATCATTCTGAACTTTGTGTTCATATGAGTAAAATCTAATAGAGAGAAGCTTTTATCCAGCATTTGCCGTTTGGTGTTGGTCAAAATAAAGGACGTGGAGTAATTTAGACTGCTGATCTGTTAATTCCTGTTGCAGGAAATAACATCCTCTGGTTTTGGGGAAGAGAAAGATAAATAAGCCCCACCTCTCAATAAAAAGTGATTGTAGGTTGTAGTGGAATTGACAGTATGGAGATACTCATGTACTTGTGCTACATCAATATGAATGACTTTGCGCTTGTAGTTGTTATGAAAACATAGAATATGTGGTTAATTCTTAAACAGGTCTCAATTCATACAGAGCATGGTTGCTCAGTGTCTTGTGGAATTGTCCTCTGCTAAAAGTACGTTTAGATTCACCGTAAAAGGAGATAATGGAAAAAACTATATTCTGGTAAGTTTGTTTGTTTTTTTTTTAATCTTTATGCTGCTGAAAAAGTTTAACCTATGAATCCCAGCTCCTAAAATATATTATTTATGCTGTTCATGATTGTGTGTTTAAAGAAAATTAACAAATTCAAATTCTTGAAGTAGTTCTTAAGAGTTCTGTTTAAGTAAGAAATTTCCCTCCATTTTTTAATTTAAGTAGAAGTATGTATAGAAATTTTCTCTATTAATATAGTAATGAAAGTACTACAGATGCATCACAGGTAGCACAGAAATAACACTGTGTTTTGTATTCAGAAAATACGGAAAGCTTAAATTTTGACTTTATAATATATACCGCATCTTCTTCCTCCAGTGCTTCTTATCTTTAATCACCAGAAGTTCATCGAATTGTATAGCATCTTTCACAAATATTGTCTGAAGTCAGCGGAGACTACTGATGTAGTCAGTACATTGCATTGCACAGTGAAGTGCAAATGAAAATAAAATTGCCTATTATACTCAACGTTCTAATGCTATTAAACTTGGTTAAGCTTGATATTTAAATAGTGACACCTAAATTCCTCAAACTTTTAGATGGGTAGGAATTTGGGGCTGGAATTATCTTAATACTATACACTTGGTATAGCCAGGGATGTTTTGTTTTATTCATGAACTAAATATAAACACAGAATTTGTAATTTTGCAGTTTGTATGAGTAATTCGTAGACAGAAATATAAAGAAATAAATGATTGTAGATTCGAGGTCATCAACAAGCAAGTGGAGGAAAAGAAGGTTATCAGGAGTAGTCAGCATGGATTCACCAAGGGGAAATCATGCCTGACCAATATGATAGCTTTCTACGACGACATGACTGGCTGGGTAGATGAGGGGAGAGCCGTGGATGTAGTCTACCTAGACTTCAGCAAGGCTTTCGACACTGTCACCCATAACATCCTCCTAGGGAAGCTCAGGAAGAGTGGGCTGGATGAGTGGTCAGTGAGGTGGATTGAGAACTGGCTGAATGGCAGAACGCAGAGGGTTGTCATCAGCGGCACTGAGTCTAGTTGGGGGCTGGTAACTAGTGGTGTCCCCCAGGGTTCAGTACTGGGCCCAGTCTTATTCAATTTCTTCATCAATGACCTGGATGAAGAGTTAGAGTGCACCCTCAGCAAGTTTGCTGATGACACAAAACTGG